CCCCCCAGTATATAATACTGCCGCCCCATTCGCTGTATTCTCCCCCCCCAGTATATAATACTGCTGCCCCATTCTCCCCCCTTCGCTTTACTTCTGCCCCCCCCGGGTATATAATACTGCCGCCCCATTCGCTGTATTCTGCCCCCCCCCCTGGTATATAATACTGCCGCCCCATGTTTGCTGTATTCTCCCCCCCCCCAGTATATAATACTGCCACCCCATTCGCTGTATTCTGCCCCCCCCGTATACAATACTGCCGCCCCATTCGCTGTATTCTGCCCCCCCCCCATGTATTTGCCCCCCGTATACAATACTGCCCCCCATTCTCTGTATTCTGCCCCCCCCCGTATATAATACTGCCGCTCCATTCGCTGTATTTTGCCCCCCTGGTATATAATACTGCCCCCCCATTCGCTGTATTCTGCCCCCCCCCCCCGTATATAATACTGCCGCCCCATTCGCTGTATTTTGCCCCCCTGGTATATAATACTGCCCCCCATTCGCTGTATTCTGCCCCCCCAGTATATAAATACTGCCCCCCCCCATTCTCTGTGTTCTGCCCCCAGCAGGGAAGTAGAGGACCTGAAGGACCTGGAAGGAGGGGGCCATGGATACGACCACCATTGAGCAGGGGGAGGAGGAGCGGTTGATGGTGCGGAAGGACGTGTTCCGGCCGTGGCCCAAGACCCGGCGCACAGTGAAAGGTGAGGAGGAAGATTCCATCGATGAGGAATTATTGGGGAAGTTCGTCTGTCCCGGTGTGAGAATCCCTCCATGTCAGGGGGGCTACTTCTGCCGGGGCAAGGGGTGGGCAGGAGGGGCAGCTGCCCTGGGCGCAGTGGTGTCATGTGAGGTGGGGGGGGGGGGGCTGGTGGAGAGTTCCTACCGACAAACTGCCAGGAGGAGTGACAGCAGCTACAGAGGAACAAACATTTGGGGTGGGGATGAGTATTTGTGTAAGGAGGGGGAGGGAGAGGAGGATTAGTGCTAGGAGGGGGATTGGGGGGAGATATGTGCTAGGAGGGGGAGTTTGGGGGGGGAGATATGTGCTAGGAGGGGGAATTGGGGGGGAGATATGTGCTAGGAGGGGGAATTGGGGGGGAGATATGTGCTAGGAGGGGGATTGGGGGGGAGATATGTGCTAGGAGGGGGAATTGGGGGGGAGATATGTGCTAGGAGGGGGAGTTTGGGGGGGAGATATGTGCTAAGAGGGGGATTGGGGGGAGATATGTGCTAGGAGGGGGAGTTTGGGGGGGAGATATGTGCTAGGAGGGGGAATTGGGGGGGAGATATGTGCTAGGAGGGGGATTGGGGGGGAGATATGTGCTAGGAGGGGGAATTGGGGGGAGATATGTGCTAGGAGGGGGATTGGGGGGGAGATATGTGCTAGGAGGGGGAATTGGGGGGGAGATATGTGCTAGGAGGGGGATTTGGGGGGGGGGATATGTGCTAGGAGGGGGAATTGGGGGGGAGATATGCGCTAGGAGGGGGAATTGGGGGGGAGATATGTGCTAGGAGGGGGAATTGGGGGGGGGGGAAATATGTGCTAGGAGGGGAAATTGGGGGGGAGATATGCGCTAGGAGGGGGAATTGGGGGGGAGATATGTGCTAGGAGGGGGAATTGGGGGGGAGATATGTGCTAGGAGGGGGAATTGGAGGGGAGATATGTGCTAGGAGGGGGATTGGGGGGGAGATATGTGCTAGGAGGGGAATTGGGGGGGGGGGGGGGATATGTGCTAGGAGGGGGAATTGGGGGGGAGATATGTGCTAGGAGGGGGAATTGGGGGGGGGAATATGTGCTAGGAGGGGGATTTGGGGGGGGGGGGATATGTGCTAGGAGGGGGAATTGGGGGGGAGATATGCGCTAGGAGGGGGAATTGGGGGGGAGATATGTGCTAGGAGGGGAAATTGGGGGGGAGATATGTGCTGGGAGGGGGGATATGTGCTAGGAGGGGGTATTGGGGGGGAGATATGTTCTGGGAGGGGGGATTGGGGGAGAGATATGTGCTAGGAGGGGGGATTAAGAGGGAGATATGTGCTAGGAGGGGGGGATTAAGAGGGAGATATGTGCTAGGAGGGGGAATTGGGGGGGGGGGGGTGGGGTATGTGCTGGGAGGGGGTATTGGGGGGAGATATGTTCTGGGAGGGGGGATTAGGGGGGAGATACAGTCAGGTCCATAAATATTGGGACATGGACACAATTCTAACATTTTTGGCTCTATACACCACAATGGATTTGAAATGAAACGAACAAGATGCGCTTTAACTGCAGACTGTCAGTTTTAATTTGAGGGTATTTACATCCAAATCAGGTGTGAACGGTGTAGGAATTACAACAGTTTGCATATGTGCCTCCCACCTGTTAAGGGACCAAAAGTAATGGGACAATTGGCTTCTCAGCTGTTCCATGGCCAGGTGTGTGTTATTCCCTCATTATCCCAATTACAATGAGCAGATAAAAGGTCCAGAGTTCATTTCAAGTGTGCTATTTGCATTTGGAATCTGTTGCTGTCAACTCTCAAGATGAGATCCAAAGAGATGTCACTATCAGTGAAGCCATCATTAGGCTGAAAAAACCAAACAAACCCATCAGAGAGATAGCAAAAACATTAGGCGTGGCCAAAACAACTGTTTGGAACATTCTTAAAAAGAAGGAACGCACCGGTGAGCTCAGCAACACCAAAAGACCCGGAAGACCACGGAAAACAACTGTGGTGGATGACCGAAGAATTCTTTCCCTGGTGAAGAAAACACCCTTCACAACAGTTGGCCAGATCAAGAACACCCTCCAGGAGGTAGGTGTATGTGTGTCAAAGTCACCAATCAAGAGAAGACTTCACCAGAGTGAATACAGAGGGTTCACCACAAGATGGAAACCATTGGTGAGCCTCAAACACAGGAAGGGCAGATTAGAGTTTGCCAAACGACATGTAAAAAAGCCTTCACAGTTCTGGAACAACATCCTATGGACAGATGAGACCGACATCAACTTGTACCAGAGTGATGGGAAGAGAAGAGGATGGAAAGGAACTGCTCATGATCCGTCCATACCACCTCATCAGTGATCATGGTGGTGGTAGTGTCATGGCGTGGGCATGTATGGCTGCCAATGGAACTGCTTCTCTTGTATTTATTGATGATGTGACGGCTGACAGAAGCAGCCGGATGAATTGTGAAGTGTTTCGGGAATATTATCGGCTCATATTCAGCCAAATGCTTCACAACTCATTGGACGCTTCACAGTGCAGATGGACAATGACCCAAAGCAGACTGCAAAAGCACCAAAGAAGTGGAATGTTCTGCAATGGCCAATCACCTGACCTGAATCCGATGGAGCATTTCACTTGCTGAAGACAAAACTGAAGGGAAAATGCCCCAAGAACAAGCAGGAACTGAAGACAGTTGCAGTAAAGGCCTGGCAGAGCATCACCAGGGATGACACCCAGCGTCTGGTGATGTCTATGCGTTCCACACTTCAGGCTGTCATTGACTGCAAAGGATTTGCAACCGAGTATTTAAAAAGTGAAAGTTTGATTTATGATTATTATTCTGTCCCATTACTTTTGGTCCCTTAACAAGTGGGAGGCACATATGCAAACTGTTGTCATTCCTACACCGTTCACCTGATTTGGATGTAAATACCCTCAAATTAAAGCTGACAGTCTGCAGTTAAAGCACATCTTGTTCCTTTCATTTCAAATCCATTGTGGTGTATAGAGCCAAAAATGTTAGAGTTGTGTCCATGTCCCAATATTTATGGACCTGACTGTATGTGCTAGGAGGGAGCATGGGGGGGAAATATGTTCTGGGAGGGGGGATTAAGGGGGATTTATGTGCTGGGAGGGGGATGGTTGGGGAGATATGTTCTGGGAGGGGGGAGTAGGAGGGAGATATGTGCTGGGGGGGAATATGTGTGCTAGGAGGGGGGATTGGGGGGGGGGGAGAGATATGTGCTAGGAGGGGCGATTGGGGGGGATTTTTACTGGGAGGAGGAAATTTAGGGGTGCATATAACTTATTTTAGGAAGCAAAATCTGGGCGAGAGGGGGCTGTGGAGAGGATTTGTGCCGGGGGGGGGATTTTGGGGGTTTGTGTAAGGAAAAGAGATCTGGGAGAGGGGGGATTTATGCTAGGTAGGGATGAATTGGGGGGAGATTTGTGCTAGGCAGGGGAATTCAGGGAGAAAGATCTGTGCTATGGGGGGATTTGGAAGAGGAGAGGATTTATGCTCAGGGGGGAAATTTGAAAGATAGAGGATTTGTGCTGAGGTAATGGGGGGGGGGGGGGGGTTACTGGGAGGGGTGATCTGGGGGGATTTGTGCTGGGAGGAGGGATGGAAAAAAAAGGATTTGTGCATGGAGGGAGGATGTATGTTAGGAAGAGAGACCTGGGGGAAAGATTTGTGCTAGTAGGGAAGAATTGGGGGGGGGGGGGGGGGGGGGAATTTGTGCTAGGAAGGGGATTTGGAGGGGTAGAGGATTTTTGCTAGGAGGGGGGGAATTTTTGTCTGTGGAGAATTTTGGCTTGCTAGAGGAAGTTACGCTTGGGAGTAAGCGTGCAAATTCTTGCCTGAATTTTTTTTGGGGGGGTGGGGATTTTTGCTGACACATAATGCTCATACTTTTTTTTTTGGGGGGGGGGGGCATTTGGACCTCTTCTGGAGATATAGACATAGGCCAGGCCAGCGCCATGCCGGAATAAAGCTGTAGAAGTGCTTAGGGGGGTGTTTGCCTTTACAATAAGCATGTGATCGATTCCAGATCAAAGGCTTTCTCCATAGACATGCATACATGACATCATGACGTCATTGACGTCATCAGGGCAGGAAACCCGAAGGCATTGCTGGGGATGCCACATTCATACACAGGATGTGGAGTTCCATGTCAAAACTAACCAGCTGACCGTTCCTCTCCATCTCCTGCAGCCTGCCTTCTGGCCATCAAAGGGATCCTGTTCCGGGTTGGAGATGACTGGTACTTCCTCTTCGCACTGGGAGTCATCATGGCCCTCATCAGCTTCACCATGGACTTCACCGTCTCCAGGATGCTGAATGGTAGAGGATTCCCTCCCGTACCGGTTTAGTCACACCATTAATAGACCCTTCCACCAGTATGCCCGCCATTCCTGCCATTAGAACGTGATTTGGCCTTTACATGACTATGAAGATTTCCCTCATTAATACCAGGGTCCCCTCGTCATCCTGGGGGGGGGTACACCCCGGCCATGTGTGGAAGGAGTTGTCTTGGCCGGTTCACCTAGTTTGTGTAACATTTATATAATATTATTGCATTGAACAGGATTGGTCTGCTGGTATATATGGTCCTGACCAATCAAAATCTTTTATTGTTGGGCCTCTGAAGTCTACATGGGGTGTCTGTTGTGATGTGTCTTCTGTTTACTGGTCCAGGTTTCTGTATATGGTGGGTCTCTCTATGATCTGAGGTTCTCTATGTGGTGGGTCTGAGGTTCTCTATATGAAGGGTCTGAGGTTCTCTATGTGGTGGGTCTGAGGTTCTCTATGTGGTGGATCTGAGGTTCTCTATGTGGTGGATCTGAGGTTCTCTTTGTGGTGGATCTGAGGTTCTCTATGTGGTGGATCTGAGGTTCTCTTTGTGGTGGATCTGAGGTTCTCTATATGAAGGGTCTGAGGTTTTCTATATGAAGGGTCTGAGGTTCTCTATATGGTGGGTCTGAGGTTCTCTATGTGGTGGATCTGAGGTTCTCTATGTGGTGGATCTGAGGTTCTCTTTGTGGTGGATCTGAGGTTCTCTATATGAAGGGTCTGAGGTTCTCTATATGGTGGGTCTGAGGTTCTCTATATGGTGGATCTGAGGTTCTCTATATGGTGGATCTGGGATCCTCTTTATTATGGGTATTGGTTCCTCTCTATAGTGATTAATGTTTTTTATGGTCCAGGGTCCTCTGTATGCTTTTTCAAGGTACTCTATATGGTGGGCCTGAGATCCTCTACATGCTGGATCTTGGGTCAGCTATATATTGTGTATTGGGACCTCTATATGATGGGTCTTGGATCCTTTATATAGTGTGTCTTGGGTCCGCTACATGGTACAACTTGGGTCCTCTATATGGTCTGTTTGAGATTCTCTATATGGTGTATCTTGGGTCATCTGTATGGTGTATCTTGGGTCCTCTATGGTGTGTCTAAGATCCTCTCTATGGTGTATCTTTGGTCCTCTATGGCGTGTCTTGGGTCCTCTATGGTATGTCTAAGATCCTCTCTATGGTGTGTCTTGGCTCCTCTATATGGTTGGCCTGGGTCATCTATATGGTGGTCCTCTATATGGTGTGTTTTGGGTCCTCTATATGGTTTGTTTTGGGTCCTCTATATAGGGTGTCTTGGGTCCTCTATATGGTGGATCTTGGGTTCGGTATATATGATGGATATGGAATTCTCCGATCTGAGTGTTGGGTCCTCTTTATGGTGTGTTTTGGGTCCTCTATATGGTGTGTCCTTGGGTCCTCTATGTGGTGTGTTTTTGGGTCCTCTAATGGGGATCTTGGGTTCCTCTATATGGTTATGGTTCTCAGATGAGTGTTGGGTCCTCTATATGGTGGGTGTGGGGTCCTCTAGATGGTGGGTCTTGGGTCCTTTATATGGTGGGTCTTGGGTCCTCATATCTGGTGTGTTTTGGGTCCTCTATATGGGGTGTCTTGGGTCCTCTATATGGGTTTGTTTTGGGTCCTCTATGTGGGTGTGTTTTGGGTCCTCTATAATGGTGGATCTTGGGTTCGTTATATGGTGAGGATATGGAATTCTCAGATCTGAGTGTTGGGTCCTCTACATGGTGGGTTTGGGTCCTCTAAGATGGGTGTCTTGGGTCCTTTATATGGTGTGTTTTGGGTCCTCTATATGGTGGATCTTGGGTTCGTATATATGGTGAGTATGGAATTCTCAGATCTGAGTGTTGGGTCCTCTATTGGATGGTGGGTGTGGGGTGTTCAAGATGGTGGGTCTTGGGTCCTTTATATGGTGGGTCTTGGGTCCTCTATATGGTAGATCTTGGGTTCGGTATATATGATGGATATGGAATTCTCAGATCTGAGTGTTGGGTCCTCTATATGGTAGGTGTGGGGTGTACAAGATGATGGGTCTTGGGTCCTTTTTATGGTGGGTTTGGGTCCTCTATATGGTGGATCTTGGGTTCGGTATATATGATGGATATGGAATTCTCAGATCTGACTGTTGGGTCCTCTACATGGTGGGTGTGGGGTGTTCAAGATGGTGGGTCCATTATATGGTGGGTTTCATTAATAGGTCTACAAATTGTGCTGGCTAAGAGAAGATAATGTGTTGGTACAGAACCCCCCTACAAGTACCCATCGCCCCCCATCCTGTACTAGAAGTGTGTGATTGCAAGGCTGTGTTCTGATTCTCCTACCTCTGATTCTTCATCAGTTCACCGCTGGCTTCAGCAAGAGTTGGGGGGACACACACTGCTCCGCTACCTCTCCTGGGTGGTCTACCCCATCGCCTTGGTGTCTTTCTCCACAGGATTTGCTCAGAGCATAACACCTCACTCCGGAGGTAAGATGTCCTCTTTGAAGTATGAGTGGGTCACTTCAGGGGTAAGATGTTCTCTCTGGGGTACAATGTCCCTTCTAGGGGTACAAGGGGTCACTTTGGGGGTGTGATGTCCTGTCTGGGGTAGAAGGGGGTCACTCTGGGTGTAAGATGTTCTCTCTTTTGTACAAGGGAGTCACTGTGGGGGCAAGATATTCTCTCTGGGGTATAAAGGGGTCCCTCAGGGGGTCCATCAGTTGACACAGGAGGAGAACATTCCATAGAGGATGAGCTGGTTGGTGGGAATGATACGGTCGCAGATTTCCAGGGAAATTGTAATAACGGGGAAGATTGGTGAATTCGGGATATAATAGGCCGGGTGCTGCTGCCACATATATGGGATCAACACACACGCCTTTCTGAATGCGCAGGCTCTGGAATCCCAGAACTGAAGACCATCCTCAGCGGGGTCATCCTGGAGGAGTATCTGACCATAAAGAACTTTGGAGCCAAGGTGGTGGGTCTGACCTGCACCCTGTCCGCGGGCAGCACCATGTTCCTGGGCAAAGTGGTGAGCAATGCAAGAAGAAACATCATCATCAACCCAGAGTATGAGAGTTCCGATGATACTGACGCGGCATTACTGCGCTGGGACCCTGGACGCACTTCCACCAAGATTCTGTCTGCATGGAGTGTGTACACGGTGTCTGCGGTTCACAAAAACAGTGTGACTGTGGGGGAGGGGACATTAGAGTGTAAGCTCCTCTGGTACAGAGACTAATGGGACTGTGGGGGGGGGGGGGGGGGGGGTTATTAGAGTGTAAGCACCTCTGGCATAGAGACTGATGTGACTGTGGGGGAGGGGACATTAGAGCGTAAGCTCCTCTGGCACAGAGACTGATGGGACTGTGGGGGAGGGGACATTAGAGTGTAAGCTCCTGTGGTACAGAGACCGATGTGACTGTGGGGGAGGGGACATTAGAGCGTAAGCTCCTCTGGCACAGAGACTGATGTGACTGTGGGGGAGGGGACATTAGAGTGTAAGCTCCTCTGGTACAGAGACTGATGGGACTGTGGGGGAGGGGGACATTAGAGTGTAAGCTCCTCTGGTACAGAGACTAATGGGACTGTGGGGGGAGGGGACATTAGAGCGTAAGCTCCTCTGTACAGAGACTGATGTGACTGTGGGGGAGGGGGACATTAGAGCGTAAGCTCCTCTGGTACAGAGACTGATGGGACTGTGGGGGAGGGGATATTAGAGCGTAAGCTCCTCTGGCACAGAGACTGATGGGACTGTGGGGGAGGGGACAGTAGAGTGTAAGCTCCTCTGGTACAGAGACTGATGGGACTGTGGGGAGGGGACATTAGAGCGTAAGCTCCTCTGTACAGAGACTGATGGGACTGTGGGGGAGGGGGACATTAGAGTGTAAGCACCTCTGGCATAGAGACTGATGTGACTGTGGGGGAGGGGACAGTAGAGTGTAAGCTCCTCTGGTACAGAGACTGATGGGACTGTGGGGGAGGGGACAGTAGAGTGTAAGCTCCTCTGGTACAGAGACTGATGGGACTGTGGGTGAGGGGGCATTAGAGTGTAAGCTCCTCTGGTACAGAGACTGATGGGACTGTGGGGGAGGGGACATTAGAGCGTAAGCTCCTCTGGCACAGAGACTGATGTGACTGTGGGGGAGGGGACATTAGAGCGTAAGCTCCTCTGGTACAGAGACTGATGGGACTGTGGGGGAGGGGACATTAGAGCGTAAGCTCCTCTGGCACAGAGACTGATGGGACTGTGGGGGAGGGGACATTAGAGCGTAAGCTCCTCTGGTACAGAGACTGATGGGACTGTGGGGGAGGGGACATTAGAGCGTAAGCTCCTCTGGTGCAGAGACTGATGGGACTGTGGGGGAGGGGACATTAGAGCGTAAGCTCCTCTGGCACAGAGACTGATGGGACTGTGGGGGAGGGGACATTAGAGCGTAAGCTCCTCTGGTACAGAGACTGATGTGACTGTGGGGGAGGGGACATTAGAGCGTAAGCTCCTCTGGTACAGAGACTGATGTGACTGTGGGGGAGGGGACATTAGAGCGTAAGCTCCTCTGGTACAGAGACTGATGGGACTGTGGGGGAGGGACATTAGAGCGTAAGCTCCTCTGGTACACAGACTGATGGGACTGTGGGGGAGGGGACATTAGAGCGTAAGCTCCTCTGGTGCAGAGACTGATGGGACTGTGGGGGGAGGGGACATTAGAGTGTAAGCTCCTCTGGCACAGAGACTGATGGGACTGTGGGGGAGGGGACATTAGAGCGTAAACTCCTCTGGTACAGAGACTGATGGGACTGTGGGGGAGGGGACATTAGAGCGTAAGCTCCTCTGGTACAGACTGATGGGACTGTGGGGGGAGGGACATTAGAGCGTAAGCTCCTCTGGTACAGACTGATGGGACTGGCTCAGCGATCTCTGTACTGCACTGCGGTATATGTCAGAGCTATGTCAATGTAAGAACTCATTTCTCCATTTCCCAGGGTCCCTTTGTTCATCTCTCCAGCATGATTGCCGCGTACCTGGGTCGAATGAGGTCCTCGGTCACTGGGGACTATGAGGTACGGACCCCCGATCAGCCCTTCTCCATTCTTTAGTTTTTCTTCCAACAAACATTGATATAGGGTACCTTCAGTGCCATGTACTACCTGGCTGGACCAGCAGGCGGCGCCATTGTTTTGCCTTTGACTTTCTGTACATTGCCCTGAATGTAATAAACACATAAAATGACACAAACAGTAATAATTGTATCCATAAAGATAATGATCCGTGTCACCGCCATGCGTGCCATAAATAAACACGTGTGTCTGATGCGGTGGAGCAGTACATGCATCTTCTCATTGCAGAATAAAAGTAAGGAGCACGAGATGCTGGTGGCGGCCGCGGCGGTGGGCGTGTCTACAGTATTCGGAGCTCCAATAAGCGGTAGGAAGAAGATCTTCTAAATGCTCTCTTGAATTTTTTTCAACCTAAGTTACTAGAAATGTTCAACTTATCAAATAAATACGAATTTTATTTTATTGTTCGATATGAATTTGGGTGGAAATCATCTCCAGGAGATAACTGAACAATGAGAAGATCCTCCTTCCTGCGTATGAATCCCTGTTTGGTTCATCCAGAAGAAGACACAATGGGGGGATATTTACTAAAACTGGAGAGTGCGAAATCTGGTGCAAATCTGCAAAGAAGCCAATCAGCTTCCAGGTATTCTTGTCAAAGCTTCATTGAACAAGCTGAAGGTAGAAGCTGATTGGCCGCCATATACAACACCAGATTCGGAGTGCTCCACTTTTATAAATCTCCCCCAATGTTACCTGTTGCGTCGCTCTCCTCACCATGGCTCTCATTGCAGGCGTGCTGTTCAGCGTGGAAGTAATGTCATCGCATTTTGCTGTCAGAAATTATTGGCGTGGATTCTTCGCTGCGACCTGCGGGGCGTTTATGTTCCGACTTTTGGCTGTCTTCAACAGTGAACAGGGTAACTTGGAGTAGAATGTATAGGCCATGGATTGGTAGTAAAGAGCGGATTTGGTGCAGAGAGTACAGGATATGGGTTGTTAGGAGAGTGCAGAGGCGGTGTAGAGGGTACAGGCCATGGGTTGGTAGTAGAGCACTATGGTGGTGTAGAGGGTACAGGCCATGGGTTGGTAGTAGAGCAGTATGGTGGTGTAGAGGGTACAGGCCATGGGTTGGTAGTAGAGCACTATGGTGGAGTAGAGGGTACAGGCCATGGGTTGGTAGTAGAGCAGTATGGTGGAGTAGAGGGTACAGGCCATGGGTTGGTAGTAGAGCACTATGGTGGTGTAGAGGGTACAGGCCATGGGTTGGTAGTAGAGCAGTATGGTGGTGTAGAGGGTACAGGACATGGGTTGGTAGTAGAGCACTATGGTGGTGTAGAGGGTACAGGCCATGGGTTGGTAGTAGAGCAGTATGGTGGTGTAGAGGGTACAGGACATGGGTTTGGTAGTAGAGCAGTATGGTGGTGTAGAGGGTACAGGCCATGGGTTGGTAGTAGAGCAGTATGGTGGTGTAGAGGGTACAGGCCATGGGTTGGTAGTAGAGCAGTATGGTGGTGTAGAGGGTACAGGACATGGGTTGGTAGTAGAGCAGTATGGTGGTGTAGAGGGTACAGGACATGGGTTGGTAGTAGAGCACTATGGTGGTGTAGAGGGTACAGGCCATGGGTTGGTAGTAGAGCACTATGGTGGTGTAGAGGGTACAGGCCATGGGTTGGTAGTAGAGCACTATGGTGGTGTAGAGAGTACAGGACATGGGTTGGTTGGTGGTAGAGTGCAGAGGCGGTGTAGAGGGTACAGGCCATGGGTTGGTAGTAGAGCACTATGGTGGTGTAGAGGGTACAGGCCATGGGTTGGTAGTAGAGCACTATGGTGGTGTAGAGGGTACAGGCCATGGGTTGGTAGTAGAGCACTATGGTGGTGTAGAGGGTACAGGACATGGGTTGGTAGTAGAGCACTATGGCGTGTAGAGGGTACAGGATATGGGTTGGTAGTAGAGCACTATGGCGGTGTAGAGGGTACAGGATATGGGTTGGTAGTAGAGCACTATGGCGGTGTAGAGGGTACAGGATATGGGTTGGTAGTAGAGCACTATGGTGGTGTAGAGAGTACAGGATATGGGTTGGTTGGTGTTAGAGTGCAGAGGCGGTGTAGAGGGTACAGGACATGGGTTGGTAGTAGAGCACTATGGCGGTGTAGAGGGTACAGGATATGGGTTGGTAGTAGAGCACTATGGTGGTGTAGAGAGTACAGGATATGGGTTGGTTGGTGTTAGAGTGCAGAGGCGGTGTAGAGGGTACAGGCCATGGGTTGGTAGTAAAGCACTATGGTGGTGTAGAGGGTACAGGACATGGGTTGGTTGGTGGTAGAGTGCAGAGGCGGTGTAGAGGGTACAGGCCATGGGTTGGTAGTAGAGCACTATGGTGGTGTAGAGGGTACAGGCCATGGGTTGGTAGTAGTAGAGCACTATGGTGGTGTAGAGGGTACAGGCCATGGGTTGGTAGTAGAGCACTATGGTGGTGTAGAGGGTACAGGACATGGGTTGGTAGTAGAGCACTATGGCGGTGTAGAGGGTACAGGATATGGGTTGGTAGTAGAGCACTATGGCGGTGTAGAGGGTACAGGACATGGGTTGGTAGTAGAGCACTATGGTGGTGTAGAGAGTACAGGATATGGGTTGGTTGGTGTTAGAGTGCAGAGGCGGTGTAGAGGGTACAGGCCATGGGTTGGTAGTAGAGCACTATGGTGGTGTAGAGGGTACAGGACATGGGTTGGTAGTAGAGCACTATGGTGGAGTAGAGGGTACAGGCCATGGGTTGGTAGTAGAGTACTATGGTGGTGTAGAGGGTACAGGACATGGGTTGGTAGTAGAGCACTATGGTGCAGTAGAGGGTACAGGCCATGGGTTGGTAGTAGAGCACTATGGTGGAGTAGAGGGTACAGGCCATGGGTTGGTAGTAGAGCAGTATGGTGGAGTAGAGGGTACAGGCCATGGGTTGGTAGTAGAGCACTATGGTGGTGTAGAGGGTACAGGCCATGGGTTGGTAGTAGAGCAGTATGGTGGTGTAGAGGGTACAGGACATGGGTTGGTAGTAGAGCACTATGGTGTTGTAGAGGGTACAGGACATGGGTGGGTTGGTAGTAGAGCACTATGGTGGTGTAGAGGGTACAAGTCATGGGTTGGTAGTAGAGTACTATGGTGGTGTAGAGGGTACAGGCCATGGGTTGGTAGTAGAGCACTATGGTGGTGTACAGGGTACAGGACATGGGTTGGTAGTAGAGCACTATGGTGGTGTAGAGGGTACAGGCCATGGGTTGGTAGTAGAGCACTATGGTGGTGTAGAGGGTACAGGCCATGGGTTGGTAGTAGAGCAGTATGGTGGAGTAGAGGGTACAGGCCATGAGTTGGTAGTAGAGTACTATGGTGGTGTAGAGGGTACAGGCCATGGGTTGGTAGTAGAGCAGTATGGTGGTGTAGAGGGTACAGGCCATGGGTTGGTAGTAGAGCACTATGGTGGTGTAGAGGGTACAGGCCATGGGTTGGTAGTAGAGCAGTATGGTGGAGTAGAGGGTACAAGTCATGGGTTGGTAGTAGAGCAGTATGGTGGTGTAGAGGGTATAGGCCATGGGTTGGTAGTAGAGTACTATGGCGGTGTAGAGGGTATAGGCCATGGGTTGGTAGTAGAGTACTATGGCGGTGTAGAGGGTACAGGACATGGGTTGGTAGTAGAGCAATATGGTGGTGTAGAGGGTATAGGCCATGGGTTGGTAGTAGAGTACTATGGCGGTGTAGAGGGTACAAGTCATGGGTTGGTAGTAGAGCAGTATGGTGGTGTAGAGGGTATAGGCCATGGGTTGGTAGTAGAGTACTATGGCGGTGTAGAGGGTACAAGTCATGGGTTGGTAGTAGAGCAGTATGGTGGAGTAGAGGGTACAGGGCATGGGTTGGTAGTAGAGCAGTATGGTGGAGTAGAGGGTACAGGGCATGGGTTGGTAGTAGAGCAGTATGGTGGTGTAGAGGGTACAGGACATGGGTTGGTAGTAGAGCAGTTGGTGGAGTAGAGGGTACAGGCCATGGGTTGGTAGTAGAGCAGTATGGTGGTAGTAGAGGGTACAGGCCATGGGTTGGTAGTAGAGCAGTATGGTGGAGTAGAGGGTACAGGGCATGGGTTGGTAGTAGAGCAGTATGGTGGTGTAGAGGGTACAGGACATGGGTTGGTAGTAGAGCAGTTGGTGGAGTAGAGGGTACAGGCCATGGGTTGGTAGTAGAGCAGTATGGTGGAGTAGAGGGTACAGGCCATGGGTTGGTAGTAGAGCAGCATGGTGGAGTAGAGGGTACAGGACATGGGTTGGTAGTAGAGTACTATGGCGGTGTAGAGGGTACAGGAGGGTAGAAGAGCAGTATGGTGGAGTATACGGATCACGGGTTGTCGGTATGAGAATACACGGAGAGGAAACAGCCATTATAAATGGTCAGACACATAAATGAACCCCTGGTGTCCCCTGCAGAGACAATTCTGGCCATCTTCAAGACCAGCTTCAGGATCTCGTTTCCCTTTGACCTCCCGGAGATGTTCTTCTTCATGATTCTGGGGTGAGTGTGGGCGGCATGTCTGACGTGTGAATGCAGGAATGTCTGTGTGTGATGTCAGCGCCGGAGCCCCGCTGACACCATCCCGCATTCTATGAATCGGTGGATTAGGTCAGACGGCCGGGAGGTTGGATCATGTGGCAGGAAAAGGCTGCAGGTCCATGAAGATTGGGAGGCCCACGATGGCACGGAGCGCCTCTGTAACCCACAGGGTCAAATAATTCATCCATATGTATAGATCCTAATGGATATCATTGATCGAATTATCTGAAATAAGAACTGTCTGTGTTGCCTGATAATTCTCAATGAAAGTCATCATCAATATTAGAACCTTTAGAAATGAGGCCAATCCATTGAGTAGGGTGAGGCCATCAATAGGTCTTGTAATGGCGGCAGCAGGTGGGTGGATCTGGGAACTGTGAAATAATACTTATTCTAGTCCTAGCGATGTCATCACTTGGTCTCTGTGCTTCTCTATGCAATGCAGGCAGATCATGGCCCGCAGGGTGCTGTACATAGCTTTCTGAAAACGTTTCTTGTCGTATACAGGGTGATCTGTGGGACGGTGAGCTGCGCCTATCTCTTCTGCCAGCGCTGGCTCCTCGGCTACGTCAGGCGGAGTCCCATCACCTCCAGGCTGTTGGCGTCGGAGTGAGTGCCGGTTTTATCTTCCAATCCTGAGATCAGCCCCGACCAATGGGAAGGCAAGACAGGCGACGGCCTAGGGCAGCACAGCTTCGGGGGCCAGCACACGTCTGGCCTTGTGCTTTCATCTTCCAGTCACATGTCTGTGCAGATCCTTCGATCTCGTAGAGCCTCATACATCTGCCTGTGCAGGCCATGCTTGTACTTGTAGTTCACCAGCAATTGGGGAGTCCCATGTGGATGTGGGAGTCTTTGTGACAGAACTGAACTCCGGACACCAATATATCCATCAAAAGAAACATGGAGGCCATTAACGTCCCCTCGGAAGCCTGGCTGAAAAACTCCCAGAGATGACATCATCCCATCCTGCCTTGTTGCTAGGATGTTGCTAAGACACTCCCAGCTGTTACTGCTTACCCCCCCCCACCCCACCCCCATCTCTGATTCAGACCCCCCCGCATGCTCTTTCTCTCCCCTGTTGCGGTAGATCCGAGCTCAGTGTTTGAGAGCTCACTCCTGTGCTGGTGGGGGTGAGCAGTAACGGATGGGAGCGTCTTAGCAACATCCTAGCAACAAGCTGGGAGCGTCTTAGCAACATCCTAGCAACAAGCTGGGAGCGTCTTAGCAACATCCTAGCAACAAGGCAGGATGGGATGATGTCATCTCTGGGAGTTTTTCAGCCAGGCTTCAGGAGGTACACCTATAGCAGGGGCATTATTTTACTTTGTTCAAAGCTGCACAGTTTGTTTGTATCTACAGATGCCCCTGACCTGCAGATCTCTGGTAAAGGTGAACTATGCCTTTAAATGCCTGAATTTGGCAGCAGCACTTAGTCTGGGAGCCAATCAGGTGTGCTGTATGCTGAGGATCATGCTGGTAGGGTGAGAGAGCAGAGGGATGGGCTCATTTGTCTGCTGTTGGGCGGAGAGGTCACCTAGCTGTATTGCTCAGCTTTAGTAGAGAACGGGTCACTGGGCTAGATATGGTGTATGGCAGAGCAGTGTAAATCTCAGGACCGCATGGAAATGCATACAGATCCGTTGGCAGGTGAATTTCTTTCTAGATGTACATTCTGGTTATTCAGCCATTTTCATGGAGATCTAATGATACATCTGAGCTTCTCTCCCCAGGAAACCCATGTATTCAGCCTTGGTGGCCATACTGATATCCACCATCACATTCCCGGACTTCTTGGGGCGGTTCCTGGCCTCCCGGGTGAGTTCAGGGTCAGGTTGTCCTGTGGACAGGTTCAGGGTCGGGTTGTCCTGTAGACAGGTTCAGGGTCAGGTTGTCCTGTGGACAGGTTCAGGGTCAGGTTCAGGGTTGGGTTGTCCTATGGATAGGTTCAGGGTCAGGTTGTCCTGTGGACAGGTTCAGGGTCGGGTTGTCCTGTGGACAGGTTCAGGGTCGGGTTGTCCTGTGGACAGGTTCTGGGTTAGGTTCAGGGTCGGGTTGTCCTGTGGACAGGTTCTGGGTCAGGTTGTCCTATGGAGAGGTTCAGGGTCGGGTTGTCCTGTGGAGAGGTTCAGGGTAGGGTTGTCCTGTGGACAGGTTCAGGGTCGGGTTGTCCTGTAGACAGAGTTTCAGGGTCGGGTTGTCCTGTAGACAGGTTCAGGGTCAGGTTGTCCTGTAGACAGGTTCAGGGTCGGGTTGTCCTGTAGACAGGTTCAGGGTCGGGCTGTCCTGTAGACAGGTTCAGGGTCAGATGGTCTTGTAGACAGGTTCAGGGTCGGGTGGTCTTGTAGACAGGTTCAGGGTCAGGTTGTCCTGTAGACAGGTTCAGGGTCGGGTGGTCTTGTAGACAGGTTCAGGGTCAGGTTGTCCTGTAGACAGGTTCAGGGTCGGGCTGTCCTGTAGACAGGTTCAGGGTCAGGTGGTCTTGTAGACAGGTTCAGGGTCGGGTGGTCTTGTAGACAGGTTCAGGGTCGGGTGGTCTTGTAGACAGGTTCAGGGTCGGGCTGTCCTGTAGACAGGTTCAGGGTCAGGTGGTCTTGTAGACAGGTTCAGGGTCGGGCTGTCCTGTAGACAGGTTCAGGGTCAGGTGGTCTTGTAGACAGGTTCAGGGTCGGGTGGTCTTGTAGACAGGTTCAGGGTCGGGTGGTCTTGTAGACAGGTTCAGGGTCGGGTTGTCCTGTAGACAGAGTTTCAGGGTCGGGTTGTCCTGTAGACAGGTTCAGGGTCAGGTTGTCCTGTAGACAGGTTCAGGGTCAGGTTGTCCTGTAGACAGGTTCAGGGTCGGGCTGTCCTGTAGACAGGTTCAGGGTCAGATGGTCTTGTAGACAGGTTCAGGGTCGGGTGGTCTTGTAGACAGGTTCAGGGTCAGGTTGTCCTGTAGACAGGTTCAGGGTCGGGTGGTCTTGTAGACAGGTTCAGGGTCAGGTTGTCCTGTAGACAGGTTCAGGGTCGGGGCTGTCCTGTAGACAGGTTCAGGGTCAGGTGGTCTTGTAGACAGGTTCAGGGTCGGGTGGTCTTGTAGACAGGTTCAGGGTCGGGTGGTCTTGTAGACAGGTTCAGGGTCGGGCTGTCCTGTAGACAGGTTCAGGGTCAGGTGGTCTTGTAGACAGGTTCAGGGTCGGGCTGTCCTGTAGACAGGTTCAGGGTCAGGTGGTCTTGTAGACAGGTTCAGGGTCGGGTGGTCTTGTAGACAGGTTCAGGGTCGGGCTGTCCTGTAGACAGGTTCAGGGTCAGGTGGTCTTGTAGACAGGTTCAGGGTCGGGTTGTCCTGTAGACGCTCCCATAGACATAAGATATAGATTGGATGGATTGTCCACCAATACTAGGAGGTGGGAATTAGACATTCTTGTTGGTCTGCTGAGTTTCTTCTTCTTGTCCTCCAGCTGACTATGAAGGAACTCCTCGTCTCGCTCTTCGACCACCGCACATGGTGGACGCTTTCCCAGAATGCCTCTGCGGAGCGGCCCGTGGGAGTTGACCCCAAACAACCTGTGGCTGGAGTGGGCGGACCCCCAATTCACCATCTTCGGTACGCTGGCATTCTTCATCGTCATGAAGGTAAGGGACACAATGATCTGTCACGGTGTTCACTGTTCAGGTACAGTCCTCCGCCTATAAATGAATTCTGAGACTTCGCATCACAAGCGGCGCCCCCCGGTGGTGTGTGTCTGAATTGTTGTATGTTCCTGGAACACATCCACCTTCAGGGGCGCAGACCACGTTCAGCAATGGGTGACCTGGTGTGAGGTGGAACCGGCTGATCCAGTTTGGTTCATAGTCCATCAAAGCTCTGTAGATACAATGTGACTCTATCAGCCTTTATATAGAGGGGAATATTATAAAGCTGTGAATGTGACTTTCACCAAACATTCTCTGCTGGAGAATCAATCTGTGCCATGTAAAACCCCCAGACCTGGAGGGTTCACTTGTGGAGAATGTTTGGTGGATGTCACCTTCGCAGGTTCAGGGTCGGGTTGTCCTGTGGACAGGTTCAGGGTCGGTTTGTCCTGTAGGCAGGTTCAGGGTCGGTTTGTCCTGTAGACAGGTTCAGGGTCGGGTTGTCCTGTAGACAGAGTTTCAGGGTCGGGTTGTCCTGTAGACAGGTTCAGGGTCAGGTTGTCCTGTAGACAGGTTCAGGGTCAGGTTGTCCTGTAGACAGGTTCAGGTTCAGGGTCGGGCTGTCCTGTAGACAGGTTCAGTGTCAGGTGGTCTTGTAGACAGGTTCAGGGTCGGGTGGTCTTGTAGACAGGTTCAGGGTCGGGTGGTCTTGTAGACAGGTTCAGGGTCAGGTGGTCTTGTAGACAGGTTCAGGGTCAGGTGGTCTTGTAGACAGGTTCAGGGTCGGGTGGTCTTGTAGACAGGTTCAGGGTCGGGTGGTCTTGTAGACAGGTTCAGGGTCGGGTTGTCCTGTAGACAGGTTCAGGGTCGGGTTGTCCTGTAGACAGGTTCAGGGTCGGGTTGTCCTGTAGACAGGTTCAGGGTCGGGTGGTCCTGTCCTGTAGACAGGTTCAGGGTCGGGTGGTCCTGTAGACAGGTTCAGGGTCGGGTGGTCCTGTAGACAGGTTCAGGGTCGGGTGGTCCTGTAGACAGGTTCAGGGTTGGGTTGTCCTGTAGAAAGGTTCATGGTCGGGTTGTCCTGTAGACAGGTTCAGGGTCTGGTTGTCCTGTAGACAGGTTCAGGGTCAGGTTGTCCTGTAGACAGGTTCAGGGTCGGGCTGTCCTGTAGACAGGTTCAGGGTCGGGTTGTCCTGTAGACAGAGTTTCAGGGTCGGGTTGTCCTGTAGAAAGGTTCAGGTCGGGTTGTCGTGTAGACAGGTTCATGGTCGGGTTGTCCTGTAGACAGGTTCAGGGTCGGGTTGTCCTGTAGACAGATTCAGGGTCGGGTTGTCCTGTAGACAGGTTCAGGGTCGGGTTGTCCTGTAGACAGGTTCAGGGTCGGGTTGTCCTGTAGACAGGTTCAGGGTCGGGTGTCCTGTAGACAGGTTCAGGGTGGGGTTGTCCTGTAGACAGGTTCAGGGTCGGGTTGTCCTGTGGACAGGTTCAGGGTCGGGTTGTCCTGTAGACCGGTTCAGGGTCGGGTTGTCCTGTAGACAGGTTCAGGGTCGGGTTGTCCTGTAGACAGGTTCAGGGTCGGGTTGTCCTGTAGACAGGTTCAGGGTCGGGTTGTCCTGTAGACAGGTTCAGGGTCGGGTTGTCCTGTAGACAGATTCAGGGTCGGGTTGTCCTGTAGACAGGTTCAGGGTCGGGTGGTCCTGTAGACAGGTTCAGGGTGGGGTTGTCCTGTAGACAGGTTCAGGGTCGGGTTGTCCTGTAGAAAGGTTCAGGGTCGGGTTGTCCTGTAGACAGGTTCAGGGTCGGGTTGTCCTGTAGACCGGTTCAGGGTCGGGTTGTCCTGTAGACAGGTTCAGGGTCGGGTGGTCCTGTAGACAGGTTCAGGGTCGGGTTGTCCTGTAGACAGGTTCATGGTCGGGTTGTCCTGTAGACAGGTTCAGGGTCGGGTTGTCCTGTGGACAGGTTCAGGGTCGGGTTGTCCTGTAGACAGGTTCAGGGTCGGGTGGTCCTGTAGACAGGTTCAGGGTGGGGTTGTCCTGTAGACAGGTTCAGGGTCGGGTTGTCCTATCAGCCTTTATATAGAGGGGAATATTTATAAAGCTGTGAATGTGACTTTCACCAAACATTCTCTGGTGGAGAATCAATCTGTGCCATGTAAAACCCCCGGACCTGGAGGGTTCACTTGTGGAGAATGTTTGGTGAATGTCACCTTCGCTGCATTCGAAACATCGCTATGAATTGTAGAAGGAGGCCATGGAAATCCATACAACATGGAGTCGGACTCTTCTACAAGGAGGACAGGGCGGCCTCTGGTTATACAGAGAGATCCCACCCTATGACATCATCATGACATCACAATTCCTCGGTTTCATTCTCTCCTCTCTTCCAGTTTTGGATGTTCACGTTGGCGACCACCCTGCCCATGCCCGCCGGGTACTTCATGCCGGTCTTCATATATGGTGAGCTGTGTGTCCACCCTAGGGGGCGTGTCCTACTGACCGGAAAATGTATTAATCGCCAATCACAGGCATTGATCCCATCAGATAGTGACATTGGTATCGTCCGCAGGGGCCGCTATCGGGCGCTTGGTGGGAGAAACCGTCTCGTACATTTTCCCGGGAGGCATCACGTCAGACGGAGTGGCCAATCCCATCATCCCCGGGGGATACGCGCTGGCAGGTGAGAGGATCAGTAGCTGGTGGGAATTACGACGCTGGAGTGGCTGACAGGAAATGACATCATAACCATGTAGTTCCCCTAGACAGAGGGAGCAATTCACTACCCAAGCATTAAACATCAACGCTGCCATCTCATGGCTGAACTATGAAACTGCAGTATAATATATGAGAATGGCTGTTGCACCCTCGGTCTGCATGAACGTCACACCAACACCCCCTATGAATAGCATGGCTCCATAGAGCATGGCACAGTGGGTAGTAATGTTTATGGGACTCTCAGCACAGTGGGTAGTAATGTTTATTGGCACCCCATGGCACAATGGGTACTCACAGTGGGTAGTAATGATTGGCACAGTGGGTATGTTTATGGCACCCTTGGCACAGTGGGTAGTAATGTTTATGGGACCCTTGGCACAGTGGGTAGTAATGTTTATATAGGACCCATGGCACAGTGGGTAGTAATGTTTATGGGACTCTCAGCACAGTGGGTAGTAATGTTTATGGACCCATCTCAGCACAGTGGGTAGTAATGTTTATGGCACCCATTGGCACAGTGAGTAGTAATGTTTATGGAACCCATGGCACAGTGGTTAGTAATGTTTATGGGACCCAGGGCACACAGTGGGTAGTAATGTTTATGGAGCCCATGGCACAGTGGGTAGTAATGGCTTTATAGGAACCCAAGGCTCAGTGGGTAGTAATCTTTATAGGACCCATGGCTCAGTGGGTAGTAATGTTTATGGCTTTAGTAGGACCCATGGCACAGTGGGTAGTAATGTTTATGGATGGACCCATGGCACAGTGGGTAGTAATCTTTATGGAGACCCATGGCACAGTGGGTAGTAATGTTTATGGAGCCCATGGCTCAGTGGGTAGTAATGTTTATGGCTTTATAGGATGGCCCCCATGGCACAGTGGGTAGTAATGTTTATGGAGCCCATGGCTCAGTGGGTAGTAATCTTTATAGGACCCATGGCACAGTGGGTAGTAATGTTTATGGAACCCATGGCTCAGTGGGTAGTAATGTTTATGGCACCCATGGCTCAGTGGGTAGTAATGTTTATGGCACCCATGGCTCAGTGGGTAGTAATGTTTATGGAGCCATGGCTCAGTGGGTAGTAATGTTTATGGCACCCATGGCTCAGTGGGTAGTAATGTTTATGGAGCCCATGGCTCAGTGGGTAGTAATGTTTATGGAGCCCATGGCGCAGTGGGTAGTAATGTTTATGGAGCCCATGGCTCAGTGGGTAGTAATCTTTATGGACCCATGGCTCAGTGGGTAGTAATGTTTATGGAGCCCATGGCTCAGTGGGTAGTAATGTTTATGGCACCCATGGCTCAGTGGGTAGTAATGTTTATGGCACCCATGGCTCAGTGGGTAGTAATGTTTATGGCACCCATGGCTCAGTGGGTAGTAATCTTTATAGGACCCATGGCTCAGTGGGTAGTAATGTTCAGGTATCTGAGCGTGGACTTTCCATCTCTCTCCAGGAGCGGCGGCCTACTCGGGGGCGGTGACCCACAGCCTGTCTACGGCTCTGCTGGCGTTGGAAGCCACGGGTCAGATCGCACACATCCTCCCGGTGATTCTGTCGGTTCTGGTCGCCAACGCCATCTCCCAGAAGTTCCAGCCGTCCTTCTATGATGGAACCATTATTGTGAAGAAACTTCCGTACCTTCCCCGGATCCGGAGCCGCCAGATAAAGTGAGCGCCATCTACAGGACACTCAGCAAGAACCATCAGGGTTACCCAGTGTGGGCGGAGTCCACTCCTGGCGTCTGCCATAGATCTGGCTCTGTTCCCGCCCACTTTGGCGTTTCTGTTTCTCATTCTCATATTATATATATAACTATACAGTGTATCTATCTGTATCTATATATTCCGGCAGGGAGGGTTAGCGCCCTTATAATGCCCCCTTACCAATATTATGGCCCCGGATCCCGGGACACTGGTGACCCCGCCCTTGGTCAGCGTTTTATTTGGATGTGCCCACATCATGCCCACTTTACAGGTTGCTCCTCTGGGGACCTCCCATCACAGGTCCATCCTGTCCAAAACCCGCACATCTAAATTGGGGGGACCCCTGACTCGCAGTCCCGATCCCCTCAGAAGAAAAGGTTGATTGTGGGATTCGGGGACACAGCCCAGGACACAGCACTGGTGGGACAGAAAACCAGGATGTGGGAGTGTCCCTGGCAGATTCCAGCCAGTTGGCATCTATGATTATGAAGTGTGCAGACCAGGGGCGGACTGACAACTCATGGGGCCCCCAGGCAATAGGGGATCATGGGGCCCTGTGTTCTCGCCCACACCCAAAAAAGCCCATGAAAAAGCCATTGAAAGGTACCAGGGGCATCTCATGGGGCCCCCTACTGACCCCGGGCCCTCGGGCAGTGCTAGAGTGCTCAAATGGTCAGCCCACCCCTGGTGCAGACCGAGGACCTCAGCATAGAGATTAGAGCCCGGTACGTGGTCTGACTCTCCAGCAGCCAAGAAAGCATGAAATGTCAGCATTGGGTGGACTGACCCCCGTAAATATCCTTGCACGTGGTATAATTAGGGCTTGTTTTCAGCGGGAACGTGGGGGGAACGCGGGGGGGAATGTGGGGGGTATGGGGGGGGGAACATGGGGGGAACGCGGGGGGAAATGTGGGGGGAACGCTGGGGGGAATGTGGGGGGAACGCTGGGGGAACCTGCAACACTGAATATGTAATGGCGAGGGGTGCTGGGGTGTATTGGAAGGTCTATTGACACTGGCTTCTAGGGGATCTATTGTTACTGGAGGGGATTTTGTTCTGCATGGCGGTCTTCTGCTGCTTGGGGAGGTCTGTTGTTGCTTATGGGGGGGATTTATTGTTGCGGGGGGCAATTGTTTCTGGAAGGGATCTACTGTTAAGGGTTGGGGTCTCTTATTGCTGCCTCCTGGAGAGTCTATTGATGCTGACCACTGGGAGATCTGTTGTTGTTGCTGGGGATCTACTGTTGCTAGGATGGTATTATGTTGTGGGGGTCCATTGTTGCTGCAGGAATCTATTGTTGCTGGGGGGTCTATTGTTGGTGGCTGCGGGGAATCTATTTTACTGCTTTTCTTGTTATCATTAACAAATTGCTTAGCAACACAAAATAATACTCTGCTCTGTTTATTCTAAAAGGAGCTGTATGGGAGGTGGGTAGGAGGGGGGGGAACCGAGGGACAATGCTCAGAGGTGGGTAGGGGTGGAACCAAGGGATGATGCTCGGAGGTGGGTAGGGATGGAACCAAAGGATGATGCTCGGAGGTGGGTAGGGATGGAACCAAAGGATGATGCTCGGAGGTGAGTAGGGATGGAACCAAGGGACGATGCTCGGAGGTGGGTAGGGATGGAACCAAGGGACGATGCTCGGAGGTGGGTAGGGGGTAGAACCAAGGGATGATGTTCGGAGTAGGTGAGTAGGGGTGGAACCAAAGGATGAGCTCGGAGGTGGGTAGGGGTGGAACCAAAGGATGATGCTCGGAGGTGGGTAGGGGGTGGAACCAAGGGACGATGCTCGGAGGTGGGTAGGGGTGGAACCAAGGGACGATGCTCAGTGGTTGATAGGGGTGGAACCAAGGGACAAAGCTCGGAGGTGGGTAGGAGGTGGAACCAAGGGATGATGCTCGGAGGTGGGTAGGGGGTAGAACCAAGGGATGATGTTCGGAGGTGAGTAGGGGTGGAACCAAAGGATGATGCTCGGAGGTGGGTAGGGGGTGGAACCAAGGGACGATGCTCGGAGGTGAGTAGGGATGGAACCAAAGGATGATGCTCGGAGGTGGGTAGGGGGTGGAACCAAGGGACGATGCTTGGAGGTGAGTAGGGTGGAAGCAAGGGACGATGTCGGAGGTGGGTAGGGGTGGAACCAAGGGACGATGCTCAGTGGAGGTTGAGTAGGGGTGGAACCAAGGGACAAAGCTTGGAGGTGGGTAGGGGGTGGAACCAAGGGACGATGCTCAGTGGTTGATAGGGGGTGGAACCAAGGGACAAAGCTCGGAGGTGGGTAGGAGGTGGAACCAAGGGATGATGCTCGGAGGTGGGTAGGGGGCAGAGACAAGAAGTGACTCAGAAGGGGGAGTTCCTGCACCTATTCTCTGAGAAATAAAGCCCTGGTTATAGCTGTTTAAGTCAGTAGAGGGATAATTACCTCCCTGCTGGGATATTGACTTACATGTACTGAAAGGTCCACGTCCTGTGTTTGGGTCATGTTGGTTAACCCGTGTGTCCAGGTAACCCTTGTGTCCTCTCCTGTATTACGATGTTTGTGACGCTCCTCCAGCTCCTACAAGGTGAACACCCAGGAGTTCATGAAGACAGACCTCGAGGTCTTGGCTAAGGACGCAAGCTTTGAAGATATTCTTCAGGTCGTAACGTCATCTGACTACTTGGAGTATCCAGTGGTGGACAACACAGGTAAGTGTACATTTGGGTGGCACAATAAGTAAGGGACTTCGTGTTTAGGATATGCTACATTTGTCAGGGGTGTGTAAGCTCCAGGTTGGTATACAGATAGACTGGAGGGTGGAGGACCACTGTAGGGTGGATGGTGGACTCTTGGTCAGCATGGAAAGTGTTCTCCCCCCTCCTCTTCCCCATTTTCCTGGCATTGGGGTGCCATTTGGGTGGCACAATAAGTAAAGGATTCAAGGTTTAGGATATCATGCATTTGTCAGGCGTGTTGGTATACAGGTATACTGCAGGATGGAGGACCACTGTAGAGTGCATGGCGGACTCTTGGACAGCATGGACAGCATGTGCCTCCTCTTCCAACGCCTCCATTTTGTTTTCGTGGCATTGGGGTGCCATTTGGGTGGCACAATAAGTAACAAAGTGGCGGTATAGGAGATTTAGAACATTTTTCAGGGGTGTATAGGCTCCATGTTGGTATGCAGTCATACTTGGGCTTGGAGGACCACTGTAGGGTAGATGGTGAACTCTTGGATAGCATGGAATTTGCCTCCTCCATTTTTTTTTCCTGGCATTGGGGTGCCATTTGGGTGGCACAATAAGTAAAATAGTTGCGGTTTAGGAGATTTAGGACCTTTGTCAGGGGTGTATAGGCTCCATGCTGGTATGCAGTCATACTTGTGCTTGGAGGACCACTGTAGGGTAGATGGTGAACTCTTGGACATCATGGAATATGTGCTCCCCCCCCCCCCTCCCCTTATTCCTAGCTCTTAATACAAATTTCTGCATTTTTTATGGAATTCTTGCACCAGAAACTGGACGGACGGACGGGGGGGGGGGGGGGGGGGGGGGGCATTGTAAATTGAAGGGGTGTGTACACTTACTTTGGATGTGAAGGACATTCGGGAGGAGCCCATAATTCACTTTGGGGGAGGTATGACTTTGCATGCAGCTGAGTAGAGAAGTTTTCTATGGAACTGAATTGTCTTCTGTTAGGAAGCTCATTTCCTATCCGAGGTTTGATGACCGGTTCACTTTGAGGAACCCCGGGGTGGGTATTTGAGGAGCCCCTCGTACAAAAAGTTCATATCACTTGGAGGTCTTTTTGAAGCATGTATTGGTTAAGCGCATCAGTCACATCCAGCATGTTCCGGGGGAAGGGCCCTTCCTCAGGGCTGAGCAGATGAGGATGAGATGCAATAGGAGACCTCCATTACAAAGACTATCAGCACTATGAACCTCCAGGTGGGTCACTCTGAGGGTTCAGGCACTGAGTCATGTCTCCTGGATTCTCGGTGGAGACCGTTCTTCACTCTGGGAATGCTGGGTAGACAAGTGTGTCGGCCTTCCCAGGGTAAGGAACGGTCTCCACCGAGAATCCAGAAGATTCCTCCACAGGAAATATGACTTGGCGCCTAAAGAGGGAATCCGACCTGTAGATAGGTTGGCACCACTGATGGACACGCTTTGCACTGACCACCACCGATGAACCTCCAGGTGGGTCACTCTGAGGGTTCAGGCACTGAGTCACTTCTCCTGGATACTCGGTGGAGACCGTTCTTCACCCTGGAAATGCTGGTAGACGAGTGTGTCGGCCTTCCCAGGGTAAGGAACGGTCTCCACCGAGAATCCGGAAGATTCCTCCACAGGAAATGTGACTTGGTGCCTAAACAGTGAGACCTGTAGATAGGTTGGCACCACTGATGGACACGCTCTGCACTGACCACCACTGATGGACACGCTGTGCACTGACCACCACTGATGGACACGCTGTGCACTGACCACCACTGATGGACACGCTGTGCACTGACCACCACTGATGGACACGCTGTGCACTGACCACCACTGATGGACACGCTGTGCACTGACCACCACTGATGGACACGCTCTGCACTGAACACCACTGATGGACACGCTCTGCACTGACCACCACTGATGGACATGCTCTGCACTGACCCCCACCGATGCACCTCCCAGGAAGCCAATAGGAATACAGAATTCACGTGTTCAGTGTAGAGAGGACTATATATACAATAGACTGCATAGAATGAGCCCCCTGTGTGTGACTTCTCCGCAGAGTCCCGGGTCCTGGCGGGCACCGTGAAACGCTCTCAGCTGATCCGATTCCTGGAGACACACGAGTCCCAGCAGGGGCCACCAACCGCAGATCACAAGGTGAGTGTCACCATCCACCTAACTCTGCTGCAAAATCTCCACCATATCGC